CTGCCGCAAAAAGTGAATAAGAAAACAGCAAAAATATGGTTTTATCAATAAGGTGATGACCTGAGTCCTCTGAGTGCGGCGATATTCTTAATACCAAACCAGCCGCAAATATTCCAACACATACATCGGAAATAGTCTCAACATTCGGCCACATAGACACCAGCTCTATATCATTTCCAGATTGCCCCATTTATTACACCATAAGATGACGTTTAGCGAGATCAATATCAGCACGAGAGACTTCTTTACCGTTTTCCAACGGAGTGTTTGCCGCGTACACCTGAACGATATCTTAGGTTACTGCGCGTAAGATACATTTTAGGTCCACCAGGAGGATGCATGCAAAGTTGAGATATTTAAATTCATGCTAATAAGACATATCAATCATCACGCAAGACGAGCAAGGATGACAACTCTCAAGTAACTGCGTGTAAGATGCGTTCAAGGTCCCCAAGATGTCCTCAAATTACGGTATAGAACATACATTGTATATCAAGCTCTTACCGATGGTGACACGCTAATAGGGGCCACTTGTGCTGTACTGACTACTGGTAAGGTACTGTTCGTCTGCGCTTGTTGAATACCCACCTGTAAGCACTGATATATCGACCGATACGATAAGACGGAAAGGTGGTAATACGAAAATTCTGAGGAAATTTAGAGAACGTCTTTTTGCTTTCTGTACACTTCTACCCTGATTCGCATATCGACTCCCGAGCTCAGCTACAGACAGATAGTGCAGGGCTGCAACTCACGATAAACTTTCTAATTCGGTAAGGGAAACCACCAACATCGAGGCAGCTATCAAACCAACAATGGGAATAAACTGCTTACCGGTCCCCCCTCCGCTGGAGCATTAGGCCATCTACTGCTTATTGGCTCATCAACTTTAAGACGGTCATTGGAGTCCGCCATTTTTAACTTCTTCAGGGAGACGGACAAGTGGAAGAACTGAAACTGCGCCGTTGAAGTAGCGCGCGCCATAAAAATTGTGGTTGTGGATCTGTCACGCGCCATAAAATTCCATCACTGGATTTTCGGGGTAAATCCTCATTTCTAAATACCAAAATTTTGTCCAACGGTCGGGTATGGATTTTTGGCGAATTACCATCACTTTGCCATTCTCATAGTAACGATACCAAGCGTCGACCAGCTCTGCCTATACTCGTATATCCGTCAGCGGGTGCCTTGGAGTTTGCTAGGGTTTCTCTCCGTTGATGCTGCCTGTTTAGCTACTTACTAGCGTTGTTTTCTATAGGGTGTTGCCATGTGTATGCCTGCTGTATCATACCCTTTCGTTATCTAAGTAGAAGCATATAGGTTGTGTTGAATTCTGCTTTTTTTCAATGTCTGAAACAGTTGCATCACTATTTCACAGGTCTACCAATCTTCCTCCTGCGAAATCGGATCCATTTTCGCGAGAGAGTCACAATTAAACGAATTCGCAAGCCAGGTCTTAAGCACCGAGAGCTCGTAGGTTAAACACGACTAGGAAGAATATAGATTCCCTTTCGACTTCGCTAGTGATTTGGCCATTGAGATAACACTACACTGGATATAATTGTGGTGGTTTGTGTGCGTATTGTAAGTGTCATTTTATAGCACACATCAGCCTATAGTCACTCTACTTACCCCACTTCTCTTGGTAGGAGACCACTCGCTCTCCATTTTCCCATATGCGCTATATACGGTTGTACGCTATATTTAGCAATGTAGGTGGCAAGTGTCATAAGTATGATCACGGGTGAGGCCACCTCACGTTACAGTAACGAGCATTGACCCAATCAACGTCAAATGCGCTTCTATGAGAATAGCTCTGAAGAATCTCAGCCTCTTTCGAAACAGGTCGTGGGAGGAGTCTACGTTTGCTGGGGTTGAGGTTGACCAGAACCGAAATGAGGGCTCGCCACAAGCAGCACAGAGATTTCGTTGCCAGTAGAAGATCACTACGAGAGCCGCCTAAACAAGACGGGTGCTTTCCACATCTCAACGAGCGTCGGTGCGGAATAGCAACGCCACCGGTGATCGAGTCTGGGTCCAGTCGCGTGACGTAATGAAAAATTATCGAAAAAATGGAAATCGAAGAAACAATGGCATTGCTTTCAACGCGAAATCGATTTCAATACGAAATGCGACGCCGCGCACGGTCGACCGACCGATGCTTGCTCCCGGGACTGGCGGGCTGGGTTGAAATAGATCCCCAACGGCTAACGCCGTCTGCTTTCGTAATGCCGCGGCGACACTCGCTCGCACTGGCCACTTCATAAGGATGGTGGACGCGCCGTGGATGATACGCATGTGTGCCATAAAGGCGCACTGTGTCACGCGCCCTTCATATCTGTATTTAACTTGTGTTAACTTGTTAACCCTTATTAGTTATTTAGTTAAGCCTTATTAGTTAGCCCTTATTGGCAGTAGTAGTGCTAGTCACAGGACCACTAGTTGAAACAGTAGTAGTGCTGGTCCCAGGACCACTAGTTGAAACAGTAGTAGTGCTTGTCCCAGGACCACTAGTTGAAACAGTAGTAGTGCTAGTCACAGGACCACTAGTTGAAACAGTAGTAGTGCTAGTCACAGGACCACTAGGTGAAACAGTAGTAGTGCTGGTCCCAGGACCACTAGTTGAAACAGTAGTAGTGCTGGTCCCAGGACCACTAGTTGAAACAGTAGTAGTGCTAGTCACAGGACCACTAGTTGAAACAGTAGTAGTGCTAGTCACAGGACCACTAGTTGAAACAGTAGTAGTGCTGGTCCCAGGACCACTAGTTGAAACAGTAGTAGTGCTGGTCCCAGGACCACTAGTTGAAACAGTAGTAGTGCTAGTCACAGGACCACTAGTTGAAACAGTAGTAGTGCTGGTCCCAGGACCACTAGTTGAAACAGTAGTAGTGCTAGTCACAGGACCACTAGTTGAAACAGTAGTAGTGCTGGTCCCAGGACCACTAGTTGAAACAGTAGTAGTGCTGGTCACGGGACCAATAGGTAGTCTCTAGGACTTGGTAGTTATTAGGGACAACGACGGGTTGACCATTATCTGATGGGAGGCAGATGAGTAGTTCTCGGAGAGCTGGTCTCCAATCTTGCCAACACATGCTGATACTAACACTACACCCAAGCGTTATAGACTCTATACTATAGAGGAGACACTAGTAATCATCACAAAGGTTAGAAAGATGACCTGATCGTCTATGCAAAGTTTCTCGACCGCAAAGGTCAACAGGAAAAGGCCGAATTGTCGATGCTGCAAGCTACTCTGATCATCTTCTTGTTCGGGTTAGGAGCCATGGTCTTCAGTAGGGAGGATTCGTAGAAGTAGTGTTGAGATATATGCTCCCTTGCCTTAGCTGAGCTCTGGAGTTTCCTAAGAAAAGCACACATGAACTTGGCTGTGAGTGCACAGAAACCCATCGAAATTTGCCGAGATCCACGAAAGCATATTACGCAAAACACCACGATGATTGGGTCCCCCTATCCCACATGGTGCTCTACTGGTTGAAACTAAACACTACAGCATATTACCGAGACATCAGTTTATCCGAATTGGTGTTGCATCAGCCGTGCATAATGTGTCAACACATCAACTACATCTCTGTCCGACTCGTCTCGAGCGGCAATTTCCCTCCGCAATGCTTCTCGTATTTCCATCACTTCTTGTCTTAAAGCGGAAACGGCCGTGGATGTCTCCAGTCTAGGATGACTAATCTTCTACTCGGCGTCGTCTACCGTGTTTTTTTCTCAGGTTGAATCTCCCAGGAATTAGCAAGTTGATAGTATCAGCAAACTCACACAGCAATTTATAGTAAGACAGTCATATCGAGTCAATCGTACGTTTACGTGATATCGGGATTTCCGGCGATTGCTACCACGAGTTAGAACATCGATGAAGCGATTATAAACTACCATAACTCATAAATATCGTCAGAAGGAGCGAAAATTTCACTCGTATTTTCTCAATTTGGTTATCTATTTTGACGGTCGATCAGAGGCCAACAACAGACAATTGAAGCTCTACCGATGCATCCTCTCGTCGATGATGTTCATTTTCCTATGTAGTCCAGCCTGAGCTAATTCCTCTCTTTCCTTTATGTCCTTCAGAAGTGACTCTAATTTTCTGTCGAACACCTCTGTCGCGACGCTCCTGGAATTGGTCAGTTTTTCGGTACCGTAAATTCTCCAAATTACCTCAGTCTGTCATTCTCGAGTTCGAACAACTTCTCGTCAAATCTAGCGAATCTTTGCTCAACTCTGAGGTACTTCATCACGTTATCTGACATTACTCTTACAGTAAGAGTCCTACCGAGATTCGAAAGAATTAAGCTCTCGACTCCGCTCCGCTAGAGCAACCAACTGCTTTTCATGCTGACTACAAATCCTTTGCGTTTCCACGACGATTCGGGACAGTTTATCAAGACGCTCTTCTGTAACACTCTGAAAAGGTATCCTCAGGTTTTCTAATAATCTTGCTCGCACCTCCATTCGGCGGGTCACTCTGAACATTTCTGTCTCGATTGCATCTCCAATACGATCCATCGCCGTTCGAATTTTAGCATCACATAAACGTTCTATGCTCGCCTCGAGACGTCCTCGTTGAGACAGTTCATCAGCCATTGCTGACTCTAGGGAGGCTAGCTGCTCCTGAACGCGTCTCCGCTCAGCCATCGTTGAATCCTCTGGCGTTTTGAGAGCCGGGAATAGATGAGGTAGTGAGTACTGCGCTGGTGATGTCATTGTAGAGCCGATTCTGCTGATGAGGCTATTTAACAACTCAGCTTAACATGGATATGCAGTTGAGCCCTTATTCTAAGTTTATTACTGAGCTAACTTCCTCATTCACTGATAAACGAACGACTCATGCGAGTTCACACTCCGAACCGATATCCCTACTCGCTGAAATATTACACCTCTGGCATAGCGGACCCTGCCGAAAGATTGATCTATAAATGGTATAGTTCTCTGGCGTATCGGCCCCATTCGGCAAACAGATATCCTATTGGTATAGTTTTCTGGCATATCCGCCCCATTCGACAAATAGATCTCTTAATGGTATAGTTCGCTGGCATATCGGCCCCATTCGGCAAATAGATCTCGTGATGGGATAGTCCTCTGGCATATCGACCCCATTCGGCAAATAGATCTCTTGATGGTATAGTCCTCTGGCATATCGGTCCCATTCGGCAAATAGGTCGCTTAATGGTAAAGTCCTCTGGCATATCCGCCCCATTCGGCAAATAGATCTCTTAATGGTATAGTTCGCTGGCATATCGGCCCCATTCGGCAAATAGATCTCGTGATGGGATAGTCCTCTGGCATATCGACCCCATTCGGCAAATAGATCTCTTAATGGTATAGTCCTCTGGCATATCGGTCCCATTCGGCAAATAGGCCGCTTAATGGTATAGTCCTCTGGCATATCCGCCCCATTCGGCAAATAGATCTCTTAATGGTATAGTTCTCTGGCATATCGGCCCCATTCGGCGAATAGATATCCTAATGGCATAGTCTTTTGGCATATCCGCCCCATTCGACGAATAGATCTCTTGCACAGTGGCTTCACTCGAGAAAAAGATTTCTGAGTGATATAGTCCTTTGGCATGTTGCCACCATTCGGCAGATAGACCTCTTTATGGTGTAGTCCACTGGCATATCGGCTCCATTCGGCAAATAGATCACTCAATTGTATAGTCCTCCAGCATATCGGCCCTATTCATCAAACAGATATCTTAATGGTTTAGTTCTCTGGCATATCGGCACCATTCGGCAAATAGGTCTGGCATATCGGCCCCATTCGGCAAATAGATCTCTTAATGGTATAGTCGTCTGGCATATCGGCCCCATTTGGCAAATAGATCTCTTATTGGGATAGTCCTCTGGCATATCGGCCCCATTCGGCAAATAGATCTCTTAATGGTACAGTCCTCTGGCATATCGGCCCCACTCGTCACATAGATATCCTAATGCCATAGTCTTCTGGCATATCCGCCCCATTCGACATAGATCTCTAAATGGTATAGTCCGCTTGCATAATGGCTTCACTCGAGGAATAGATTTCTGAGTGATATAGCCCTCTGGCATGTCGGCCCCATTCGGCAAATAGATCTCTCAATTGTATAGTCCCCTGGCATATCGGCCCCATTCGGCAAATAGATCTCTTATTGGGATAGTCCTCTGGCATATCGGCCCCACTCGGCAAATAGATCTCTAAATGATAGTCTCCTAGCATAGCAACGTCACGCGCCACAGAACTACTCACCCTCACAGCCTTGTGAAACTAATTTCGTTGAGTCCTCAAATTATGACGATTCAATCCGAATTAAGAGAGTACATAACAAAGTCCGCGAATATGAGGCGTCGAAATCCGCCTCCATGACATCGTGATAGACACAGTCCCACTGTGACGCCTCTCACAGTAGACCTAACTCTTCTAACAGTCAAGCTCACCTGTTGCGCGCCATATACATTTCCACTATCATTGGTCGAAAACCAAACGAAAATCACAAACTAAGTTCTAAAAACTTCGAGTCGACATTCAGTCAGCGTGACACCAGATAGAAGCCCCACTGTGAGACACCAGCGCAGCCCGTAGCTCCTCTTTAACCCGAGAAATTACCATTAACCAACCAGAACAAGACCGACTGAAAGGTATACTAGTTGAAAACAGTACAGATAAATCGCTTCGGGAAAACCTTTTTCCCCTTCACTCAATCCAAGAACTCGGACAACCACCTGAAACCTTCAGCGTAGCCCATCCTTTTCACAACAGAGCACATGAAGACCTCAACAGGTCTAATCCCCGCCTCCTGAGCGTTCTTCACCATCTGCTTATTGATATCCTTACCAAAGGTAGTATGAGAGTACAAACCCAAAGACTGTCGCAGCTCTTCTTCACTCGCCGCGGTTCGAACGTCTATTTTGTTACCGAGAACAACAATAGGAACGTTCTGAAGCTCAGGGCTCTCCATGAGATGTCTGAGCTCTTCAGCAGCCTCGGGGAATCTAGTGCGGTCGGCAGCATCAACCAAAAAAATAATGCCGTCAACCGTAGCATAGTAATCTTTCCAGATTCTCCTCGCTGTTTCATGACCACCCAAATCAAAAGTGCGGAATCTTATTTTACCGATAAGCAACTCCTCAGAACAAGGATGTAATGTGGGTACATGAGTGGCCACCTTGTCATCTTTGAGCATGTGCAATAGAGTGGTCTTACCCGCATTGTCGAGGCCCAAAAAGAGGATCTTGGCGTTTTTATGAGATAAGCCAAGCCAATTCAGCGTATCCCAGAACCAGTTTACGATGAACATTTAATCTTCTCAAAAAAGAAGAAGGAAATACCTGATTTACAAGGAGCTAGTTCAGATGTGTTAGTCCGGGCTGACGCGGAATCTGACAGTCTCGCGCGCCCATATAATCGATCTGTATCATGATCGACTCTGTCCGTAACTTACCTGGTGGGTTGTCCTACTGGCAAACGATCACTAAGAAGTTGGTCAATCCCCCCCTGGTCGAAGATGTATCAGTATCATTTTATACGTATCTCGTTATTGGAGCTGGTTTGACCGGTATTGCTACTGCCCTTCATCTCGGTTCTGCTGGTCACAACGTCCTTGTGGTAGAAGCCGGTCCCCGCACAGCTTGGCGAGCTTCTGGTCGTAATGGTGGTCATGTGTGGCCTAGTAGTCATGCTCATGCTGATGAAGGTGGTCACGACAAGTTACGGTTCGAAATGCAAGGCGCGGAAATGATTTCTGATGTGTGTACAAGAAAGATACGAGGGAGTTGTGAATTGGCGTGCTCGTATGAAGAATCAGTTGAACAACTCCAGCTTGCTAGCGTTCCCAAGTTGGACGGTGTGCAGATCCTCACGGGTGACGCTGGTTGGCACCTTGCAAATCTCAAAGCGAATCAGGATGGTTACGGTGGAATATTACAGCCTACCACAGCAACAGTCAATCCAGTCGAGTTAGCGAATATCTTATGTTCACGCGCATTAGATACAAATAAGGTCCATTTCATGTTCAACAGTGTGGTGAAGAGTATCTCAAAAGATTCCCCCACGATCGTGCTCGAGGATGGTCGTCAACTCACAGCGAAGAATTCAGTGATCGTCTGCACTAACGCTTTTACGGGATTGCTACTACCCGAATTAGCTGGTAAATTCATACCAAAACTCAGCCAAATCGTAGCCGTTCCTTGCGAAGATGAAGATCCGCGACTGCTAGAATGTACTCTTGCTGCTGCAAACGATACTCTGTATATATCAAGACCGGTGCCTGAAAGGATATTAATTGGTGGCGAAAATACATCCAATCTCGACAACTACCTTCGGGAGCATACAATAGGAGATATGCCAAATGATTTGGGCGAAGAGTGGTATGAATATCTTTGCATAACGCCTGACGGTCGACCTCTGGTGGGCCCTGTTCCTGGTCGACGAGATGTGCTTATCTGTGCTGGTTACAACGGTAATGGACTACCGTTGTTTTATGAATGCGCACGAGCTGTGGCGCTATATGCTAGTGGAAGAAGTGACGAAGTTGCGGTATGGATTCGTGATTATGCGAGTCCGGATAGGATATTCTGATGGCTTATGGTTTGTTATGTGTTTCTCATTATTAATTTAATGTGTTGTCAATTTAATTGGTAAAAGAATTTTTTCTCGAAAATCCTTCCCTGCGGGAAAAATGACGAAATTACGGTATGGTTTTGCAGATTTGAATGCGGATGGGTTTGGATTCTGACGGCTTGTGGTTTGTTATAAGTTTCTTATTTTGAATTCGATGTGTTGTTGTCAATCAGGTTGTTGAAAGAGAAGTTATTCGGAAATTATTTTTTTTCCGAAAAAATACGAATTACCAAAAAAATGCCAAAAAATTGAATAATTTTCGGTATGGTTTTTTTCGGATTATGCAAGACAGCAAAAATGCTTGCTAAAAAGTGCAGATTTTATTGAAAAATTTCCTATTTTTCCTCTGAATATTTTCGTAAATTTTTCCTATCTTGGTTACAACAGTATTTCTCCTGCGTTATCTTGAATGCAATCAGTGACCAAACCCATCCGTGATATGAAACGCGATATGGATGAGCTCGTTGGGGTGGAAGTTACGGCAAAACACATATTTGGGTTTAATTCGAGGGTAGGTCGCAGTGTTGGAGGAATATATATCCGCTTCCCTCAGCTGAGCTCGGGAGGTTCCTCACGGGTGTATGAAAATTTAAGTTGTTTTCCACTGCAGTGTGAGAATATGTACATGTACGTACTGATGACGATATGAAAATTCGGGAAAATTTGTAAAATTGTCGTTGGTTTTTGTGCACTTTCCCCCCAATTCGTGTGTAAATTTTCATAACGTAGCTTTGGGAACTCAGCAGCTAAGGAGACCAGCATATCGTCAATGTTCACAGTTCACTAAAGTATGACTCTATTTCGGTTCAGTTCAAACGGTTACGTAGTGTGTGGGGGGGAAAATATGCGAATTGTCAACTACATGTGATGGTGACAATAATGTAATTGAAAATTATGGGAAATTCTAAGGAAATTTGAAGGGATTCTTGTATTGGTTTCTTTACACTCGTACTCAACTTCGTAATACGAAGTTCGTATTTAAGTTTTTTTCTGTGATTGATGATAGAACTCCCGAGCTGAACTGAGTAAAGCAAATATATATTCCTCCTCCAGCACTGTATTTTATCAGGAATACGAATATATTGGAGTTGCACCACCCTAGTGATATGAGAAACACTAGTGAAAGACATATTTCACGACAACTGCATACCGTGAATATCGCGTTTTTCACCGAGTTTTACACCACTTCACGTGAAACGGGTGAAACTCCATTATATTTTCGCAGGTCCGCAATCATCCGATTTTCATAGATGAAGTTACGGTAGCATATGCGGCTGCTCACTACGTGGTTATTCATAATACCGAGACCAACACTCAGAAGCTTCTGCCAAATCACAGTGGTTCTATTGGTGAGTATTGAGGTTTCACCCTAGTGATATGAAGAGAAAAATATTTCATAATTCACATCGCGAAATTCACAGGTGAAAAACGCGTAAAACACATATGGTGTTTTCCACTCACGGTGAATTATCTGTTATTATTAATGATGTTATTGATACAGATATCAATATTGTATAGATATCGATATTAAATAATTATATATATTTGAATGACTCTGGATTGGAGTTTCACCACCCTAGTGATATGAAAAACATATTTCACGACTACTGCATATCACCGTGGATTTCGCGTTTTTCACCAAGTTTTACGCCACTTCACCTAAAACGGGTGAAACTTCATTAGAAATAAAGATATAAACTATTAATATAATATAAGTTTAGGTGATATAGCATTATTATAACCGCTTTTATCAATGTATTGCATTGTTATATATAATTATTAATAGTAACGAGAATGATATCATTTATAGTGCGTGAATGATGCCCTCTAACGTTAAGTGATT